CTACACACAACAGCAATGTGATAACATTAAGGTGTGTTTATAGAATATGTATGGTAAAGGTAATGTTAATGCTGTATTGTGCACAAACAAATACTTTTCTGTCAACTTCACCCCTCACTACACACCAGCTTTGTGGTAACAGATACAGGGAAAAGTACCAACCTAGATCAGATCTACTTTTGTAAACATCACAACTGGTTTATCATAAACCTTGTCTGGATGTATACACTGTACACAAACGTATGTGCCAAAAATAAACATGACAGCACTAATTGGAACATTCAGTATTACTATCAGCAATCTATATTGAAGTTTTTTTTTTTTATCAAATTTTGTTCTAAAATACAAGTTTAACTTTCATTTGACAACACTGTTATATATATATATATATATATATATATATATAACATGTTACCAATGACAACAGTGATATGCATTGGTATAATGACACATCACATGGTGACAACAGTAATAGTCATTGGTATGACATGTTACATGGTGACAACAGTAACAGTTATTGGTATAATGACACATTACATGACAGTGTTGTTGTACATTAGAACTAATTTGAATTTAATGACAAAATATGGCTAGGGAGACACAACAGCTAGGGTCATGTGACAGTAGATGGCTAGGGAGATACTAACTGCTAGGGTCATGTGACAGTAGATGGCTAGGGAGATACTAACTGCTAGGGTCATGTGATGGTAGATGGCTAGGGAGATACTAACTGCTAGGGTCATGTCAGGGTAAATGACTAAGGAGACACCAACAGCTAGGGTCATGTCGGGGTAAATGACTAAGGAGACACCAACAGCTTGGGTCATGTGAGAGTAGATGGTGAGGCAGACACCAAGAGCTAGGGTCATGTGATGGTAGATGGCTTGGGAGATACTAACTGCTAGGGTCATGTGAGGGTAGATGGCTAGGAAGACACCTACAGCTAGGGTCATGTGAAGTAGATGGTGAGGCAGACACCAACAACTAGGGTCATGTCAGGGTAAATGACTAAGGAGACACCAACAGCTAGGGTCATGTCAGGGTAAATGACTAAGGAGACACCAACAACTAGGGTCATGTGAGGGTAGATGGCTAAGGAGACACCTACAGCTAGGGTCATGCGATGGTAGATGGCTTGGGAGATACTAACTGCTAGGGTCATGTGAGGGTAGATGGCTAAGGAGACACCTACAGCTAGGGTAATATGAGGGTAGATGGATTGGGAGATACTAACTGCTAGGGTCATGTGAGAGTAGATGGTGAGGCAGACACCAACAGCTAGGGTAATATGAGGGTAGATGGCTAAGGAGACGCCTACAGCTAGGGACATGTGATGGTAGATGGCTAAGGAGACACCTACAGCTAGGGTCATGTGAGAGTAGATGGTGAGGCAGACACCTACAGCTACAGTCATGTGATGGTAGATGGCTAAGGAGACACCTACAGCTAGGGTCATGTGAGAGTAGATGGTGAGGCAGACACCTACAGCTACAGTCATGTGATGGTAGATGGCTAAGGAGACACCTACAGTTAGGGTCATGTGAGAGTAGATGGTGAGGCAGACACCTACAGCTACAGTCATGTGATGGTAGATGGCTAAGGAGACACCTACAGCTAGGGTCATGTGAGAGTAGATGGTGAGGCAGACACCTACAGCTAGGGTCATGTGATGGTAGATGGCTAGAGAGACAATATCAGCCAGGGTCTTGTGATGGTAGATGGCTAGGAAGACACTAACAGTCAGTGTGATGTGAGGGCAGATGGCTAGAGTGACAGCATCAACCAGGGTATTGTGATGGTAGATGGCTAGAGCGACAACATCAACCAGGCTATAGTGATGGTAGATGGCTAGAGCGACAACATCAACCAGGCTATTGTGCAGGTATATTGCTAGGAAGACACTGATAGTCAGTGTGATGGATAGAGAGACAATATCAGCCAGGGTCTTGTGATGGTAGATGGATAGAGAGACAATATATGCCATTGTCATATGAGAGTAGATCGCTGATAAGACACAAAGACTGTTACAATACACAGAAATAAAGGGAAGATATATGAAAGAAGGGTAAGATCAAGATCAAAAGTATTTCAATGGGGGATGCAGATCTATTTTGGTATCTTCGAATTCTCTGAAGCTTCTGGCAGGGGTGTAGAAGACACAGAAGAAAGCACTTCATTCTGAGATGGGACCTTAAGTTGCCTTTCGCATTTACTTGTTCTTGGATTCTCCTTAACAACCATCATCAAATTTCTTCACTAATGCTCTGATCCAGCAATCACACCAATCCAGTTCTGTAAAATCCTTTCATGAAGAATGTTGCAACTAAATTGTAATGTCGTCTTGGATACTGTTGTTTTTAATGACAGAATGTTAATCTATCGTCTAGGTATCATTCTCATGATATTTAGCCTGGAAACTTTCATCAAGTACAATCTATCGTCTAGGTATCATTCTAATGATATTTAGCCTGGAAACTTTCGTCAAGTACAATCTATCGTCTAGGTATCATTCTAATGATATTTAGCCTAGAAACTTTCATCAAGTACAATTGCTTTTAGTGTCAACTATTACTGTTGTCAGGAAAAAATTACAACATTTAGTTGGTAGGCAAAGATATATCTACCTTAATCAGTATGCTGAATCACAAAATATGTGTTTGTTGTACTATACATGTATGATGTGACACATATGTATGTTGTATCACATATGTATGTTGTATCACATTTGTATGTTGAATCAAACATGTATGTTATGACACATGTGTGTATTTTATCACATGTGTATGTTGTATTACATGTGTATATTGTACCATACATGAATGATGTGACGCATGTGAATGTTGAATCTAATGTGTATGTTGAATCACATGTGAATGTTGTATGACATATGTATGTTGTATCACAAGTATATGTTGTATCAAACTTGTATGATGTAGCACATGCATATATTGTGTCAGAAATGTATGTTGTACAACAGGTGTATGATGTATCACACGTTGATGCTTAAACACCACTATAAAAACTGTAACACCTGCATGTTTTGTATTTGATAAGGGCTAATGGAGACAGAGGGTGGTATGTATTCCCTCTCTAGAACATAAATGGATGTTGTAGAATATTCCAGATCATGACCTACCTATGGTCTGTCACTATGTCAATACCTACTGTAGGTAAGTTTCTATTAGTTGGACCTAACTGGAGAAAACTGTCAATTTTGCAATAATGCAAAAAAATTTCAAGAAAAAAATCTGTTTGCTCCGTGGCTTTTATAGATACCATGAATATATATAAGTTACTCAAAGACAAATTCATCAACTTCTGTAATCACAAGTAATTGTATTAACCTGTAATCAGAGACAAGTTCAATAACACCTAATTAATTCATCCACCATAACCTTAATTATCATAACAATTAAATTATGTCCAAGTTTTGAAAGACATCCATGATAAGCTTGTTACAACATTCAAAGTTATCATTCTTCACTGAATAGTAACAGAATCCCCATCCTGCCCAGCCCTCCTCACTCCCTCCTCCTCAACCCCAGGTAAATTCTGCAAGCATGAACTATATATATTTATCATTCTGAAAAGCTATCATATGATAGTTATTAATACTAGATCACCTAAAATATAAGTTCTAAACCAAAGCTTCTGAAGGATAATATCAATGATACATATATCCCTTACCTGTGTAACAATGTTTCTGTAAGTGAAAACCCTTACAATCCTTCAAAGTCATTACATATGATAATACAACAATGTAATGTTAATAGCATTACATAGGGAAACCATCAGCTGTGCATTAGCCCAAGCCTGCTGGTGTAGAGGTCATATGTGTGTTGAGAGCCTGAATACACACTACCTGAGTTGTTTATCCTATGTACATATCTCACTGCAATTTTTCTCTAAGATGTGTACCATGTATTAAATAAACATCTATAAATCAGAAGATATGGCTTATCAAATCAAAACAATACAGAAATCTCTTCAATAAATTGGTAACATTCCAGAAATATTCCATACGTACTCCAACTGCCAAACATGGGCAGAGCTGTGTACCCTTGGCCAGTGTAGTATCCAAGTACACACACACTGACACACATGTGCCAACAGACCAAGTAAAGAACATAAAATACAACATCTATTATTCCACTTTCATGGCTGACTTGAAAATTAAATACAAGATTCCTAATTTCAAGAAATAACCATATATGTAATAAACTTTAAATTAGATCGTTTCTCCCAAATGAAACTGTCTGACACGTGTACTACCTCATTCAGTATGCTACACTCTGCCGACAGCCATGCGGAGAAACATAGCCCAAATAACAGCGGTTGGCTAGTGATGATGTAAAAAGGTGAAAATGTTTAAGTCAAATTATACCTCTCCACACGTTAAAATTCATAAACTCTTGAGAATCTGTCATATGTTCTTCAACCCTATTTAGACCGCTCGGTCCAGACAGGTCGAGTAAGGTCATTTCAGGGATGTGACGGAACGTTGTCTGCTAAAACCAAAATGTCCTCCGTTCGTTCTCTCCTTCTGTAGGTTCCTGCCCGCTGTTCGTTGCCTGTTTCACCAGAGCTGTTTAGACCTATTCTGGTCTCTAGTCAAACTGAAGACCTATTTGTGTGTTCACCGGGAGCCCGGATTGTACGTATAATACCTACAGTTGGCACATGTTACAACATGCATGCCTCCACTCGGAATCAATTTCGTCCCTCTGAATCGTCATGTGTTCAATGGGCAAAACAAATACACTAATTCCATAGAAACCAACTGAAATTCAAACCATGTATTAAAAAAGTGCACAAACTATAAGTACATCACAAATTGCTATCCTAAAACATAAACGGCACTGAAATTCCAAAAAAAATTCTACCCTTGCTAAACATTGGCCCGGCTCGGGTTTGACAGGCCGCCATATTGAATGGAAATAAGCCACAGTGGTTGCAGAAAAATCGCTGAAAGAAATAGAATAATGAAGATATGGTCTAACCTCCTCCCTGGTTAGATCGTTTAGGGACCCCATTTTCTACTTCTGTGTCCAATGGCCGTTTCCTTGAGTCAGAAGTGTCCATATCACCTCCATTCAGGTTGTCGTAGTTCATCGCCATTTTCCACTGCGCCCAGTTCTCGTGGGGTAACGTACTAAACGATAGTATCGTCACGAGATCTGTCAAAACACATTCTAGCATGATAAAATATTTCCGATCGGAGATTTTAAGAGTGTTTCATACTTTTTATAAACCGTGCAAACTAATTTGATAATTCTTTATTCATTTGATAATAAGAAATATCAGATTATGAACGTCATTTTCACATTTCTCGGTAAGACAAACCCACATGTCAACAAACGAGACACGCCCCCTTTCTTGGATACACACGTGTGTACTTCCAGACGTGTCTCAAGGCGCTCACACGTTTTAGTTTAATTTAGTTAGAAATATTATTACATAATTTAGTATTCCATCAAATAGATAAGATGCTCATATAGTAAAATAGCAAATGCATCCTATCGCATTAGTACACGATTAAAAAATATACACGAAACTGCTGTTTTCCACAAACAAACTAACGCAATTATAAAAAAAAAATAGTTTAAATTATTAGTCTATTTTTAGACCCTAGTCAGTTTTTCGTTGTTGGTATATCTGATTTGGTAAATTATATTTCGCTTACATATTTACAATTCATAGCTTAATTCATCACAGATTATTGGTCAATTGCCAAACTCGATCGGTTATTTCTTGCCGCATTAGACCTAATTGCGCAAAAGGGAAAATAAAAATGTGACGAAGTAAGCGAAAATAAATCGCTCTTCTACCACCAGCCATACAGTCATATGTATATATATATATCTTACTTACATGTTAAAGGAGGAAGTTGTTGTGTTGAAAAGTGTTATAGGTTTACTGGAAATTATCTTATACTTTTAATACCACGGAAACGATACACATACAGACTGAATAGTTAAAAGTATGAAAATGTGATACATAATTCTAGTCTCAGAAACTGTCACAAATATATTTATCTATAAGGAAGTTTAATTTTCATGCTTCGAAATTCTTGTTTATATACCGTTCACTTTATCAAATTACGCTACCCATTGAAATGACTGCAGATATTATAGTTAACATAACCAATAAATATTTATTTTGTGAGATATATCGTCAGACAGATAAATCGACCCCGACATTTGCAATGAACTGGCTGATGAAACCAAAACCTATTACAACATATGTTTCTAAACAACTACAGATATAGAGAAAAGTTTGAGTGTAAAAATAAAATACAAACTTACAAGTATAAACATCTTTCTTTCATAGACTATACAACCCGATGCTTTGCCGTTTTTTCATGTTTATTTCGTTTTGCAATACAGAAAGCTTAATTGAAAGTGAATGTTTCAAATTCTCTGTCCAAGATGATATAGCATAAAAGAATTGAAATTTAAACGATACTCAGTGACTTTACTGTTTTACATGAAATAATATCTTGAGTTTTAAAACTCACTAGGAGCAAGGAGGTATGAAATGATAAAAGGAATGGATCAATGAATGAGAGATGGAATGGGGGACGAGTATGAACGATTATACGTAGAGGAGGGTAAAGGAAGGGGAGAGGAAGGGATACGGGAGAGGAAGAAGTAGAGTAGGGAAGGGTAAGGAATAATGGAGGGGAATAAATGTATCATAGGTACAGGTAAGAAGAACGGGAGATGAGGAGGATGGAAGTAGAGGAGGAGGAGTTAATGGGCAGGAATAGAAGAGGGACAAAGGATGTGGAAGGTTACTAGTAGAGTAGGGGTAGGAGAAGGACAGGAGTGAAGGAGTGAAAGGAGTAAAGATGAGGGGGTAAATAGGTATGAGCAGAAGAGGGGGCGGATTAGAATAAGGATAAGATTAGCAGAGGGGTAAGAGTAACAGGAGAGATATGAGAAGATGAGGGTTGGGAGTAGAGGATCGGTAAGAACAGAAGGTGGGATGTGGAAGAAGGATAGGATTAGCGGAGGGGCAGGAGTAACAGAAGGAAGGAGTAGAGGAGGGATAGGAGTTGAAGAAGGATAGAAGTAGAGAACGAGTTTGAGAAGATGAGGGGTAGGAGTGAGGGATAGAGTACAGAAGGGAAGGAATAAAAGAAGGGAAGGCGTAGAGGAGGGTTAAAATTAGAGGAGAACAGGAGCTGGTAACTGGCCGGAGTAGACGATGGATCAGAAAAGAGGAGTGGTTGGAAAGGAGGAGGGGTAAAGGAAGGGAACTTACGGTAAGTACTGGTAATAAGGGAGGGGCTGAAGAAGGGACGGGCATGGTAAGGGGAGGAACAGAGGAGTGGTTGGAAAGGAGGAGGGGTAAAGGAAGGGAACTTACGGGGAGTACTGGTAATAAGGGAGGGGCTGAAGAAGGGACGGGCATGGTAAGGGGAGGAGTAAGGGAGGAGGGATTAATGAAGGATGAGGATTTCGGGAGTGAAAGGAGTAGGGAAGGGGAAGGATTGATTGAGTAGGAGAGGAGAGGAGTAGGTGATTGAGGAGAAACAGGAGAAAGGGGTGCGTAGAAGAGGGGTGGGGTAGAGGAAAAATAAGGGGAGGAGTAGGTATAGATAAGAGTGAAGTTGTAGAGGAGGGAATGCGTGATGAAAGGAAGGTGTAGGGAGGGGAATGGGTGGAGTAGGGAGGTGGTCGAATTCGTAGGGAGGGGGATGGAGGTGAGTATGAAAGAGGCGGAGTAAAGAATAGGGATAGGGAGGGGATGATAATAGGAGTAGAGAGGGAAGGAAATTATAGAGAGGGGATGAGAATATGAGTAGAGAGGGAGGGAAATAATAGGGAGGGGTAGGAATAGGAGTAGAGAGGGAAGGAAATTATAGAGAGGGGTAGGAATAGGAGTAGAGAGGGAAGGAAATAATAGGGAGGGGTAGGAATAGGAGTAGAGAGGGAAGGAAATTATAGGGAGGGATAGGAATAGGAGTAGAGAGGGAAGGAAATTATAGGGAGGGGTAGGAATAGGAGTAGAGAGGGAAGGAAATTAGAGGGAGGGATAGGAATAGGAGTAGAGAGGGAAGGAAATTATAGGGATGGGTAGGAATAGGAGAAGAGAGGGAAGGAAATTATAGGGAGGGGTAGGAATAGGAGTAGAGAGGGAAGTAAATGATAGGAGGAGGATGAGAATAGGAGTAGAGAGGGAAGGCAATGATAGGGAGGGGTAGGAATAGGAGTAGAGAGGGAAGGCAATGATAGGGAGGGGTAGGAATAGGAGTAGAGAGGGAAGGAAATGATAGGAGGAGGATGAGAATAGGAGTAGAGAGGGAAGGAAATGATAGGAGGATGAGAATAGGAGTAGAGAGGGAAGGAAATGATAGGAGGAGGATGAGAATAGGAGTAGAGAGGGAAGGCAATGATAGGGAGGGGTAGGAATAGGAGTAGAGAGGGAAGGAAATGATAGGAGGAGGATGAGAATAGGAGTAGAGAGGGAAGTAAATGATAGGAGGAGGATGAGAATAGGAGTAGAGAGGGAAGGCAATGATAGGGAGGGGTAGGAATAGGAGTAGAGAGGGAAGGAAATGATAGGAGGAGGATGAGAATAGGAGTAGAGAGGGAAGGCAATGATAGGAGGAGGATGAGAATAGGAGTTGAGAGGGAAGGCAATGATAGGAGGAGGATGAGAATAGGACTAGAAAAGAAAAAGTGAAAATGAATGAGGAAATCAAGGCATACTAGCACTAACTATCTGTATACCACACTTCCATCTGCTGAAAACATTTTCTTGAATAGCAAGAATGTACCAAAACATCAAATCAGCAACAAAGCGCTGTTTACTACGTTAGAAAAAGTTCACTCATGATTTTAGGTTACAAATACATAGCCCATAAGTTCTGATTTGTTATTCCGCGTTGAGTATGTTTTTTATCATTATCATAATTATTTAAATTTTGATTATATCACTTAAAATGATTAAAACAGACTGAATGTCAATCTTTCATACTTACAGTGTGATAAGCTCGAAACTCCCGTTTGGATTGTTCACAGACGAAAATTTTTAAAGTGAAATAGAAATTGATAAAATGGACTATCTAATTTTGTTCAAGTGTTATTTCGTGTACACCTTTTTTCAATTATCACAAATCAGTTTATCAATTTTTTCCCTCTTTTACCCTTTTTCTCATGTGTTTTGATATTTCGACGAGAAAATGGGTCATATATTGTAGGTATTTTCATGTGACCCCCGGATTCGTGCACGTTAACAATAAATAAACTAACACCTCAGGTGATTACTATGACACATAAAACATGAAATTTCTATATTTTTGTAGTTTTACAAGATCCATCATGTACTTGTACTGATTAAGTTGATCGAAATCGGCAACATATCTGCCTATTTCAAAAGTTTTGACAAGCTGCATTTAATTTTCTCCTTTGCAATCTGTATAAAAAAATGTATGTTTTAAATATTATTTACAGATCAATTTATCACACAATACATTTTGCACAAGTTCTTGTTTTGCACCGTATACTAGAAACTCCTTATTAAGTGCAGTATACTGTTGCACTGTAATTAATTGTGAAGTGTAATTTACAATGCGGAATCTTGTGAAGTGCAGTAATACATAAATTTAATGGCTGCAAGTCAGTGCTTTGAATGACAGGGCCCTCGAGGTAATAAATGAGAATGCATATGGACCGGCGAGTCGTGACCACGAAATACACAAGATTTACATTCTTGTACCTGACCACGAGATACACAAAGTTTACATTTTTGTACCTGTTAATTATGACCACGAGATAAACAAGGTTTGCATTTTTGTACCTGGAAATTGTGACCACGAGATGAACAAGGTTTGCATTTTTGTACCTGGAAATTGTGACCACGAGATAAACAAGATTTACAGTTTTTTTCTGAGAGTCGTGACTACGAGATAAATAGGATTGGCAGATTTTGTCTGAGAGTCCTGGCTACGAGACCAACAAAGTTTACAGATTTTGTCTGAGAGTCCTGGCTACGAGATAAATAGGATTTGCAGATTTTGTCTGAGAGTCCTGGCTACGAGATAAATAGGATTTGCAGATTTTGTCTGAGAGTCGTGACTACGAGATAAATAGGATTTGCAGATTTTGTCTGAGAGTCCTGGC